GTTTTAGATTTTTTTTCATTCTTACTGATTGTTTTGTTGTTCAAACGAATTGTGATATATCAAAAATGTCGGATATTTTATTAATACACTACGATGTTCCTCAGGGATCAGTGCTAGACCCATTAATTACTATTAACTATTAAACTAAAATTTAACTAGAGAGATGTTAATAATGACTTACTGTATAACGCTTGGCGTCGGTAACATCTTTTTTTCAAAAATTGTTAGAAATATCTTCTTTGTTACAGTAGATATGCATGAAGCAGCAATAATTTAAAAAACGACGCCTTAACACGCTTGGCGTCGAGAGCGTCGTTTTTCCAAAAACAGTCACAAAGTGCTTATCTGGTATGGATATGCACGAATCTACTTTAATCTAAAAAACGACGCCATATAACGCTTGGCGTCGGTAATGTCGTTTTTTCAAAATTTGTCAGAAATAGCTTCTTTCTTATAGATATGCATGAAACAGCAATAATTTAAAAAACGACGCCTTAAGATGCTTGGCGTCGAGAGCGCCGTTTTTCTAAAAACTGTCACAAAGTGCTTATCTGGTATAGATATGCACGAATCTACATTAATATAAAAAACGACGCCATATAACAATTGGCGTCGGTAATGTTTTTTCAAAATTTGTCAGATATAGCTTCTTTGTTATAGATATGCATGAAACAGCAATAATTTCAAAAACGACGCCTTAAGACGCTTGGCGTCGAGCGTCGTTTTTCCAAAAACAGTCACAAAGGGCTTATCTGGTATATATATGCACGAATCTAATCTAAAAAACGACGCCATATAACGCTTGGCGTCGGTAACGTCGTTTTTTCAAAATTTGTCAGAAATAGTTTCTTTCGTATAGATATGCATAAAACAGCAATAATTTAAAAAACGACGCCTAAAGACGCTTGGCTTCGAGAGCGTCGTTTTTCCAAAAACAGTCACAAAGTGCTTATTTGGTATAGATATGCATGAATTTACTCTAATCTAAAAAACGACGCCATATAACGCTTGGCGTCGGTAACGTCGTTTTTCCAAATTTGTCAGAAATATCTTCTTTGTTACAGTAGATATGCATGAAGCAGCAATAATTTAAAAAACGACGCCTTAAGACGCTTGGCGTCGAGAGCGTCGTTTTTCCAAAAACAGTCACAAAGTGCTTATCTGGTATGGATATGCACGAATCTACTTTAATCTAAAAAACGATGCCATATAACGCTTGGCGTCGGTAATGTTTTTTCAAAATTTGTCAGAAATAGCTTCTTTCTTATAGATATGCATGAAACAGCAATAATTTAAAAAACGACGCCTTAAGACGCTTGGCGTCGAGAGCGTCGGTTTTCCAAAAACAGTCACAAAGTGCTTATCTGGTATAGATAGGCACGCTAACGTCGTTTTTTCAAAAATGGTCAGAAATATCTTCTTTTTTATAGATATGCATGAAACAGCAATAATTTAAAAAACGACGCCTTAAGACGCTTTGCGTAAAGAGCGTCGTTTTTCCAAAAACAGTCACAAAGTGCTTATCTGGTATAGATATGCACGAATCTACTCTAATCTAAAAAACGACGCCATATAAAGCTTGGCGTCGGTAACGTTTTTTCAAAATTTGTCAGAAATAGCTTCTTTCTTATAGATATGCATGAAACAGCAATAATTTAAAAAACGACGCCTTAAGACGCTTGGCGTCGAGAGCGTCGTTTTTCCAAAAACAGTCACAAAGTGCTTATCTGGTATAGATAGGCACGAATTTACTTTAATCTAAAAAACGACGCCATATAACGCTTGGCGTCGGTAACGTCGTTTTTTCAAAAATTGTCAGAAATATCTTTTTTGGTATAATAGATATGCATGAAACAGCAATAATTTAAAACACGACGCCTTAAGACGCTTGGCGTCGAGAGCGTCGTTTTTCCAAAAACAGTCAGAAAGTACTTATCTGGTGTAGATATGCATGAATCTACTTGTAATCTAAAAAACGACGCCGTAAAACGCTTGGCGTCATAAACGTCGTTTTTTCAAAAATTGTCATAAATATCTTCTTTGGTATAATAGATATGCATGAAACAGCAATAATTTAAAAATCGACGCCTCAAGACGCTTGGCGTCAAGAGCGTCGTTGTTCCAAAAACAGTCACAAAGTGCTTGTCTGGTATAGATGTCTAAAAAATGACGCCGTAAAACGCTTCGCGTCGCTAACGTCGTTTTTTCAAAAATGGTCAGAAATATCTTCTTTTTTATAGATATGCATGAAACAGCAATAATTTAAAAAACGACGCCTTAAGACGCTTTGCGTAAAGAGCGTCGTTTTTCCAAAAACAGTCACAAAGTGCTTATCTGGTATAGATATGCACGAATCTACTCTAATCTAAAAAACGACGCCATATAAAGCTTGGCGTCGGTAACGTTTTTCAAAATTTGTCAGAAATAACTTCTTTCTTATAGATATGCATGAAACAGCAATAATTTAAAAAACGACGCCTTAAGACGCTTGGCGTCGAGAGCGTAGTTTTCCAAAAACAGTCACAAAGTCCTTATCTGGTATAGATATGCATGAATCTACTTTATTCTAAAAAACGACGTCGTAAAACGCTTAGCGTCGGTAACGTCGTTTTTTCAAAATTTGTCAGACAGCTTCTTTGTTATAGATATGAATGAAACTGCAATAATTTAAAAAAAGACGCCCTAAGACGCTTGGCGTCGGTGGTGTCGCTTTTCCAAAAATTGTCAAAAAATGGCTGCTTTGGTATGTCTTTTTTTTTTTATTTATCAGACGTTCCTCAGGGATAATGCTAGACCCATTTTCATTTGTCATTTATACTTCTCAATTACTATTAACAATTAAACTAAAATTTTACTATAAAGAAGATATTAATGATGATTTACTGTTAAGTATTCCATTTTCAAATGTTACTAACTAATAATAAATATATTTCACATGGTGTTCTATATCAAGAACGTAAATACTATTTTGATTATCTATGATATCGTGGTCGCTGACGAATATCATTTAGATTACAGAAAATCCGTTAAACTACTAACACTTTTTTATTACTAACACTAACACTTTATATATTACTAACACTCTTTAGTATCTCTATAATAAAATAAAAAAGGCTACAGCCTTTTTTCTTTAAATGGAATTTTAAAGTAACAATCAAAACAAATACTGCGAATTTCATAGCGTTAAATATCTTGCGCTACTCCATAGTGTGTAAGGGTATTTGGAAACAAAAAAAAAACGTATTTACACATGGGAAAATACTACAACTAGTTTTTTGCTAGGTGAGCTTGGATAACGTGTATGTGTTAGTGTTTATGTGTTATTTACCTCAGAACTACCTAGTTCCAAGCTATATATTAAACCCAACAACCTGCGAAAATAAAAATAATAAAAGAAAAAATAAAAAAAATAAATAAATAAAAAGAAAATAATGGTTGAAATGCTAAACAAACGATATATTAAAAACAAAAATATAACAAGTTAGTGACCTAATCTAAATGTTAAATAGTAATGAAATAAAAGTACGAAATTTTTTACAATTACCAAGTAATGAAAAATACGAAATAACTAAATAAAAATAACCAAAGAAAATTAAAATAAAATAAAATAGAAACAAAGCAACTAAAAATACGTAAAATAAAATTAAAAATGCATTTTCCGATACAGTTTCCATTAAATTGACGATGTAGTTATCAAGGCTGCCTCTTCGGACTAGAACTGGAAAATTACAGATTTTGAATACTTTAGACCAACGAAAATTATTTAAATCTTTAGTGTTAAAACAAAATCGAAACTACAATAACATTAACGTGAAATTAATTTTATAGGACAAATAACAAAATTTAAGTAACAGGATAACAGAACATAAAAATCCCTACAACATTCTCTACCGTTACCGTTGTATAGATATTTCCAAAATGTCATGCTAGTAAAAGAAATTGCTTGTCCAAAAAGCAAATTTTATAAACAATAAACACTTTCATTAGCAGGATAAAGACCATAAAAATTATGGAACGATTTTTTGGCAATATTGATACCATTCTAGGAACAGTTTTAGGTATAAAAAAATTTATTTTTTCATTTTTAGAATGATTTTGAAAAATTTTAAAAATAAAAAAAGCAAAAAATTACAAGACTGTTTTAACAAAATTAATGATATGAGGGGATATGTATATGTTTATATCAGAACTATGTATATTGGACAAACAAACCAACAGCGCTTTGTAAGGATGATAGACCATAACAAGGCACATTTTAAAAATAAAGATAAAAATTTTCTATATGAGTGGTCGTTAAAAATTAAATTTTTTCCGACGCTTTTGATGAAAAAATACTGGAGAATTTTTTTTAAGTTTATTTTTTCATAAAACCATAGTTTTTCAAAATATCTCTTAAAGTAAACGGATTAAAAAAAAAATTAAAAATTTTGAAATTTTGGAGTTAATAAGTTTATTATTGAGAATATCTCCATAAATATGGACTTTATGAAAAAATCAAACGATACCTTTTTTGTAGAGAATTTTATTTCCCACAAAATTGCTATCGATTGATTTTTTCATAAAGTTCATATTTATAGAGATATTCTCAATAATAAACTCATGAACTCTATAAAATCAAAATTTTTAGATTTTTTCTCAAATCCGTCTACTTTAGGAAATATTTTGAAAAAACTACGATTTTATAAAAAAATAAACTTCAAAAAAAATTAACCCTTATTTTTCTTTAAAGGAAATTTTTTTAAGGCGTCGGAAAAAATTAGAACAAATAAACCACTATCGCCTTGTTAACACGATAGAACATAAGAACATACAGTAACACAATTTCAGCAGTTTCGATTTTATCGTTTCGTATACGGTTTTTAAAAATTCAAAATCTCAACATTCCAGCGATCCAAAAAGACGCGCGCCCGTCAAAACAAAATCCCGTCGAAAGTCAAATAATTTTACAAAAAATCGATATAATACGTTATCGGAAACGGAACCAGAAACGGATTCATTACCTCTAATCTGTCGGAGCGAGGCATCTTCTGTTGCACCACGGTCTGTGGTACCACGCCGAGTGGGGAACCCACGCCCGTAGGATCCGGGCCCATTATCGTGGGCATGATGGGTCCCGGGGCGAAGTACGGACTGTACGTGCTTCCGACTTGAGGCATACCCGTGAGGTAGGGGTTAGCGGCCTAAAAATAAACAAAAAACGAATGGTTAGTGGGTGTGATTGGGTTGTATCGGGTAAGAAACGGGGATCTAATGAATATGGGACTGCCACACGACATAACTCCAAAAACCAGGTCCATCGAGTTCTTCTCTTCGTCTTCGAGCTTCCAGAGGCTTCTTCTGAGAAATCTATGGACATGTTTTTCAGGTTATGTTACAAAAGTGGACTGACTGGCAACCCCATATTTCATCTTGTTGTATCGGGTGGCTTAAGACTGGCTATGGTTCTGGGTAAAAAATTCAGTGACCAATAAAGTAGCAATAAGAAAACCTTTAGATAATAGTAGAACGACAGCTAGATGGTGTAACTGATACCAAACAGTAAAATGTTTATTTCATACAAAATTTACCAAGTTAAGGTATTCTTAAAATATGATAGTTAAAATTTCTAGATCAATCAGCATATTTTTGACTTTTCTGAATTTTCTACCTTGTCATTTATAAGAGGTGGGGTTATTGGTGACAGTGATATGAAAAAATGCTTGTTACTCCGGTCCTGCTCATCCAAATTTTGTAAACTTGGTGTTTTTGAAATAACTTATTTCACCTAGAATGTACTATTTATATTTCACTTTTCAAAATTATTAACTGAACCTATCAACAATTTGTTTCTCAAATGTTGGTCATTTCGACTTAAGTGTTTTGTTTTATTTGTTAAGATTTACTTTTTATTTTAATTAGACATTTTTTTGTACCATAATAATTAGGTTAAGCATGACTGAGAAAAGTACAAAATCACAATAATATTCGGTTTCACACAGTTGGAGTGTTTATATTTTTAACGTTAATTATTTCTATTGATGACAAAATTATCTAAGTTATGTGTTTAGGTACTGTTTAAAACTGTTTAAAACTGTTTAAAACTAATTAAAACGGTTTAAAACTGTTTAAAACTAATTAAAACGGTTTAAAACTGTTTAAAACTGTTTAAAACTGTTTAAAACTGTTTAAAACTGTTTAAAACTGTTCAAAAATGTTTAAAACTCTTTAAAACTGTTTAAAACTGTTTAAAACTGTTTAAAACTGTTTAAAACTGTTTAAAACTGTTTAAAACTGTTTAAAACTGTTTAAAACTGTTTAAAACTGTTTAAAACTGTTTAAAACTGTTTAAAACTGTTTAAAACTGTTTAAAACTGTTTAAAACTGTTTAAAACTGTTTAAAACTGTTTAAAACTGTTTAAAACTGTTTAAAACTGTTTAAAACTGTTTAAAACTGCTTAAAATTGTTTAAACGGTTTAAAACTGTTTAAACTGTTTAAAACCGTTTAAAACCGTTTAAAACCGTTTAAAATCGTTTAAAACCGTTTAAAACTGTTTAAAACTGTTTAAAACGATTTGAGACGGTCTAAAACTGTTTAAAACTGTCTAATGCTGTTTAAAAATCTATTTAACATTGTTTAAAACTGTTTAAAACTGTCTAAAACTGTTTAAAACTGTTTAAAACTGTTTAAAACTGTTTAAAACTGTTTAAAACTGTTTAAAACTGTTTAAAAATGTTTAAAACTGTTTAAAACTGTTTAAAACTCTTTAAAACTGTTTAAAACTCTTTAAAACTCTTTAAAACTCTTTAAAACTCTTTAAAACTCTTTAAAACTCTTTAAAACTCTTTAAAACTCTTTAAAACTCTTTAAAACTCTTTAAAACTCTTTAAAACTCTTTAAAACTCTTTAAAACTCTTTAGAACTCTTTAAAACTCTTTAAAACTGTTTAAAATTGTTTTAATCTATTTAAAACTGTTTAAAACTGTCTAACGGGGTTATAATGGACAAATAATGTTATTTTTAACAGACACGTTATTTATTTGTGAACAGGTAGTTATTTCGGTGTTTGTATAACAGACCTGTTAAAATACCACAGGTTGTCAATCATAACCCCCTAATACTGTTTGAAAAACTATCTAATACTGTTTGAAAAACTGTCTTATATTGTTTAAAAAACTATCTAATAATGTTTAAAAAACTGTCTATAACTGTTTAAAAAAACTGTATAAAACTGTCTAAATCTGTTTAAAACTGCCCAACTGTCTATAAATATCTTAAAGCGTCTTAAAATGTCTAAGAATAACTATCTGTATAAAAATATATCTAACAGTGTCTAAAAATGTCTAAAAACGTCTTAAAATGTCTAAAAATGTCTAAAAATGTCTAAAAATGTCTAAAAATGTCTAAAAATGTCTAAAAATGTCTAAAAATGTCTAAAAATGTCTAAAAATGTCTAAAAATGTCTAAAAATGTCTAAAAATGTCTAAAAATGTCTAAAAATGTCTAAAAATGTCTAAAAATGTCTAAAAATGTCTAAAAATGTCTAAAAATGTCTAAAAATGTCTAAAAATGACTAAAAATGTCTAAAAATGTCTAAAAATGTCTAAAAATGTCTAAAAATGTCTAAAAATGTCTAAAAATGTCTAAAAATGTTTTAAAATGTCTAAAAATGTCTAAAAAGTCTAAAAATGTCTAAAAAAATATCTAAAAATGTCTAAAAATGTCTAAAAATGTCTAAAATGTCTAAAAATGTCTAAAAATGTCTAAAAATGTCTAAAAATGTCTAAAAATATCTAAAAATGTCTAGAAATGTCCAAAAATGTCTAAAAATGTCTAAAGATATCTAAAAATTTATAAAATTGTCCAATTTATTCCAAACAATCTAATGAGTATCATGTATACTAGAGGGCAATGTTTATATTTTTTAAACTGATTTTACTATTTGGTATTAAGTTACGCCATCATATGATTGTTTAAATAATTTCCAGGTTTTTCTCGTAGCCACTTTGGTTATGAAATTTTTTTCCTTGAAGCTGTACTATAAACGGTTCTTAAATATGGCTGAAAACCATTCTTTTTAGGCCACCTAATACACAAACGGGTTGATAGTAGATGTAGAAATATTATATATCTGACTTTTTTGTGCAAGTGTACAGCGGTTTCGTTTTAGTGGTCGGTCATCAGGTAGAAGTAGACCAGCGCTAAATGAACTACAAAAATTGTGTACTTATTATACAAAATAAATATAGCCCGACCATATTTATCCATATTGCAAAATCAAAAAAATAAATATCGATGAGAGTTTAATAAAAATATAGTATTTCTACATCTGTCAATTATTCGATAAAAGGGTTAGTTATTACCCGATACATTTGGTAGTTAAATATTAATGCAAAAGCTTCCAGAATACATTTCGTTTTTGTTAAACATTAATAGAACACAAAACGATTTAATTTATTAAATTTAGCTTTTTGTTTATCAATCTCGTTTTGCGACTAAAATAATTTAAAAGCTTCGATTTTATAACAACGAAAATTAAAATTTCTAATTTATAATGCACGAATATTGTTCGATCATTATAATTTTTTGGTGACAAAGATTATGGAGAGAAGAAACATGGCAGGTCGTGCCATCTTTGAAAAATGGCGTACAACTAGGTTACTGTTAGTCTTTGAGAAAAAGTTCAAATTATAAATTATAGAGGATAAGATTTTCTACAAATTACCTTCTATTCAATTTTATTTTCAGCCCTCTATCTCGAAAACTATTAGTTTGACCAAAAAATGTTATAAGAGCTAATTTGTAGCAAATTTCATGCTATTTAATTTATGATTTGTACTTTTTTCTGTAAGCCTAAAAGGAACAGAGTTGTAAGTCATTACCTGTTTTTTGTTATTTTTCATTTTTCATAATTTTTCATCACTCCATAACGTTTGTAGCAAAACGAAATGGTACTGGTACCATAAATATTCGTCGCCTTCTTAGAAACGACGCTAGTAAACACTGGAAAGTAATTAAAAAAAATTGTTTAAATTAAAAATATAATAGCCAATTAAAATTATTCCAAATGGATCCTTAAGTGTTTATGGCGTCGTTTCCAGGACGAGAATGCGATAAAATTGCAAGCATGCGATACGCTGAAGTTCAGAAAACTACACAACAACTTTGTTTTAAAAGTGTAATTAAGGTTTTTATGATAAAAAAAGTGTATAATCTGAGACAGAGTGTGCTGAAACTGTAACGAAATACCGTGATAATTAATGTTTTAACTAGTTAAAAGATAGGAAAATTACAAATAATGTATTATTTTAAAGTTTTGACTCTTTAAGTACAACAACCTGCCTCTTAACTAATCCATACCCTAAGTCTGAAACATCGGTGAATAGCCATTAAAAGTTAAATGGCAACGCTGTATCTTATTAACCTACTACCGTGAAATATCAACGTACCATCGTCAGTAATACACCTAAAGTACATTGCAAAAGCTAATCTTATGCTATTCCGTACCAACCAGGATACTAAAGCAGTAATGTCAACATTTGAAGGGGAGTTTGAGTATACTTAAGTCTCGATAAAATTATATACCAGCCGGATGACCGACGGTTGAGATATGGTTAACCTATTGAGATACAGTTGACCGACAAATGAGATACAGTTGACTAACTGATATACAATTAACTAACTGAGATACAGTTGACTAACTGACTGAGATACAGTTCGTAGTCAACCAAAATACAGTTAGCCGACAATTGAGATATAGTTGGTCGACAATTGAGATATAGTTGGTCGACAATTAAGATATAATTGGTCGACAATTGAGATAAAGCTGGACGAAAGACGGAAGGAGAGTTCGAATAAGGTAAATCCTCGATAAAATTACATACCAGCCTGGATGCAGTTGACCAGCCACTGAGGTATAGTTGAGGTATAGCTGAGAAACAGTTGTCCAACTGAGATACAGGTGGTAGACTATTGAAATATAATATCGGATAATCGAGATAGAGTTGGCCGACAATTTAGATACATCTGGGCGATAATTGAAATACAGTTGGACGACAATTGAGATGCAGCTGGACGAAAGACGGGAAACGCTTGAAGGAGAGTTGGAATACTGGGAAGTCTTGATACAGTTTACCGATTGTAGGAATGAGTCTGTTATTTAAAACGTTTATTTATTTATAAGTTGGGTGCTTAAAATATAAGTTGTGCTGTCGTGTCTGTTTATCTCAATCTTGTTTTATTTTCTTTTTTGTATCTGTTCCAATCGTTATCAAGTTTCGACGGATCAAAGTATACAAGGTTATCCACTTAATGCGTAACGTAATTATGACATTAGGTCTTTGATAATGACATTGACACTTGACTAACCTCAAATAAAATCGACGTAAAAGTTTTAAGCTATAATGACATGAAAGTCATTACACTACTGAGGTATAGTTGACCGACAGTTGAGAAACAGTTAATCAACTGAGATACAGTTGGCCGACAACTGAGGTATAGTTGACAAACTGAGATACAATTGACCGACAATTGAGATACAGCTGAAAGAAAAATGGGGAACAGTATACGGAGAATCAGATCATAGTTTAAGCTTTTAGGAATCACTTTTATATTAAATAGCAATTCACTTTCAACACACTCTATATACAGAATTAAAAATTAAATGTAAATATTCTAAGAAAGTATTAGCAAAAGACTAATAAGCGGCACAAGCGGAGGTTTCGAGAGGGTTATTTTTTTACCATAAGTGCATACTGCTCTTCGATTGTCATAGACAGTTGGGGGAAGAAGGTCAGGGGAAGGCAGTCTAGTGGCGCATCCACCTCGAATATAACAAAACCAAAAAATTAGTACCAACACCAATTTAAAATTAATAAAAAAAATATATATAAATAAATGGACAACTTCAAACAAGGCCGGCAACCGCTCATGCAGCATATAAATGGCTTTAAAATAAAAATTGATTAATTATTAAAAACAAATTACTATTGACCGTGCTTACGTGCAAAATATTGAGAAAAAATTGAGGAAATTCATATAAGACTAATTAGAAATCTATACTTATCTTAAAATTCCTGTAAATGTTACAAAAAAAAGCTACAATATTTTCTATATCTACTGTATTATTTCTGAAAAGTATCCGGGACCTTCAATTCCATTTAAGTGCTTCGCCTCGTGACTGGCTATTTGTATAAGAGAAAGCGTTTTTGTCTAAAAGTATTTAACAAGTTACTCGATTTACACCGTATCTAAAAATAACAGTTCGATGATATAGAGCTTTCAAAATGTTACGATGATATGTTTATTCCAAGTTGCCAAGAAGTCTCAAGTTTCCCTACGGTATTAATACTACTTCTAAACTACTTTAGATTATTCGTAAGTAACCATAGAGGGGGAATTGGTTTCCAATTTTCATTAAGTTAAATAAATTTGAATCAGGCTAGTAAAGATGCATAATACTGTCAGCTTCTATAATATAATGGTCATGAACTTCCGGTTGAAGAGCTTATTTTTCTTATATACCGACTCCATTTTATTATTTTGATTACCGTTAGCTTTTAGGTTAAATACTGTCAATAACAGGTATACTGTCTAAAAAGTCCTTTGACTTCCGAGATGGTATCACCAGTCAGAAGACAAAGAAGACATATTCATTGTCAAACAATTAATAATATAGGACAACCGGAGATATTTATACAAATTTATCAGGCATGATTAAAACCGCTTTTATTTTCAAATAAACCTCCAAGAAACATATTTCCTCAATTTTTCCCATTGCGTTATTAATAATAAGAAAAAACAATACAAAACCAAGCTCTCTAAAAACAACATCGAAATGAAATACTTACGACTGCTTGAACTTGTCCTGGAACTAAAGCTTGTCCAGGTGACAGACCCATTTGTTGCATAAGAGCGTTCTTAAGAGCTAAGTGGTTTCTGCCGTTGATTAACAATTGATCCTTGAGGTGCTGTGGAGGATGGAAATATTTGCACGGTGGTTTCTCTCTATTACATCGACCCTGAAACAAACAAAAAACCAATTAGTATACAATCAAATTAAACAGTTTGATGATGCTGTAACATTTAACTGAATAACGTACAAACTTCACTCTTAGATGTATTTAGAGGATAGGGGATCGTTAAAGTCAAGTCTTTACCATAGCTAACGGGTGTGAGTGCAAGGAAAGAGCGCCTAGGTCTAATTGAACATAGTACCCGAATACGAACGTTGGGCGCCAAATCTGTTATTCATAACGTTGTGAGAAATTATATTCTTTTAAATTTGTGACAACGTTAGGAGTAACGTAACAATTCTAAACTAAGAGAATACAACTCATAGCGCAATTCTTTCGCTACCCTTGTACATTACATTAAATTCTATTACCAATAAATGTTCAGCGGCGAATATAAGACTTCGGTTATTTTCAATAATAAAATATTTTATATACCACAGACATGACGGCGTTCCGAAATTATACCCTTGCGGTTGCCGAAATGAGTTTATGTTATGTAAATGAATAAATTTATAAGCATTATCAGCCGCAAAATGTATTGGCTGGGTTAAATAATAGCAAATCGATGATATAAACGTTCAAAGTGAATCAAATATAACCAATGTAAAAGAGTATTTAGAAGATTTATATATTTATTTACGAAACACAAATTGATTCGCAAAAAATTCCTTAAGTAGGTCATGATTGAATCATGTCATCAAAATATTTCTAATTTGAAAAATAAAAACTATTTTAAGATATTAATTTATAAAGTTAATTCAAGAATTTATTAAAATCATTTCTATTTAACACGAGCACAAATTATACACATAAAATGTTTTTGTTTATATAATATTCTAGGTTGTCCCAGATTTCAACCGTGTTGCTCCGGGTAGGTACAAATGTAATCTGGGATTACTAACGTTTTTGTCTTATGAATTTAGCCCTATTTAGATTCAGCTGAGCCTCAAGGATATAGTAAAATAACCCTACACAATTAGAAAATAAATTACATAGATACATATATGTTTGGCGTCCAACGTGGGGCCTATTAAGCAAATTATAAAAATGAAATTATAGTTTAACGATGTTTTAAAAAGTTGTAGAATAAACAAATTTGATGTCGAATCATCAAAAATTAAATTTAAATTGTCTCAGCCGAAACATGACAGAAATAAAGCAATTATTAGGTTTAAAATAGAATCCAGACAGGTTTTAAATTTGTTACATTTAAATTTCAGTAAGGATCAGATATCATACAACCTCGATTTATTGGTTAAAATAAAACAACATATCTAAATAAATAATTTAAATATATAAAAATCACAAATTTAAAAACCGTATACATAATTTTATTTCTATCTTGGTTCATCTACATAAATAAAAGTACATGTATTAATTGTTTTTGTTTCTAGCCAACATACTGGACCCGTTTTTTCCCAGATTAACACGACACTAATCGCATCGAAACCAATAAAAATTCTAGCGAAATATCCAATTTAATATGACACGCGCGACACATAGTTCCGCGACACAAGTAGACTTCGTTCGCCCTCTCCTGTATGATGTACGAGCTCACATCAATCCTGTTTCTCACCTCCCTAACGACCCAAAACACCCCGGGACTTCGAGAAAACTTATTTAACTCGCACTCGGAAGACCTCCCGTTTGATGGATCGCACTGCCAAATATCGCACGCGGTTAAAATCGAAAAAGTTACGCTCCAAGAAGTCCCGCGTCGAATCAAGGAAACGGGATGAATGCGAAGGTGTTCCCTATAAACTTTTAACTTTATTAATTTACAATCGCCCCGTTTCAGATTTAGAGTATCCCTTATTGGATATTTTTCTCCTACTTTATAGATATCGAAAGAGGAGTTGCTCAAGGATCTATCCTGGGCCTCTAGAGTAGCTAAAACGCACTATGGAAGCAGTTTTGATATAGTTAAAGTTATTTTGGTACCGACGTCCTCGCTAAAAGATGAACCGACTATGAGTACCTAGAACCAGAACAATTCCTTGATATGGATACCAAAGAAGACTGCAAAAGGAATTATTGTAAACTGGGGAGAGGGAATCAGTCTACGAAAGACTCTAGGACTAACCCAATCCTTCCATGATATTTGTCTTTACCAGCTTTAGGCATGAGCTACAATAGATTCATATGGTTGAGAGGGAATCAGTTTACGAAAGACTCCAGGGCTAACTCATTTGAAGTTGTTCATACCCAATCCTTCTATGATATTTGCCATTACCAGCCTTAGGCATGAGTTGCAATAGATTCATATGGTTCGGAGTGGAAGGTGATAAGTCTATTCCATTTATTTTCAACCGTACCGTTGTCACCATATACCCCGAATTATCAGTGATTTCTTACGAAAAGTTGTGATGAAATAAGAAACTGCATAGTTGCTAAGGAGTTTAGCAGTTACCCTGACAATACTACAGCAAACAAATACTTTGATTGATTAGATAGAAACTGCACCTGGTCAGAGGTGTTCTGACTGGTCATTGTTTAAGTACAGAAGTAGTTCCATAGCAAGAGGGTGGCAAATAATAATATCGAGCATACTATTGTCTAATATTACCCGGCGCTTTCATTTATTAGGAGATTTGAGTTCGGCTAACACTGGCCAACACATAAGAGAGGTAGCTTTGAATTACGTTGTCATTAAATATATAGACTGGATGACGAGCTAAAAGAGGCCTATCAATTCAGGAGGATTCACAATGCGCCGAGTGAAATTTAAACTGCTCTGTGACAACCCACCCACTCCACCTTACAGATATAGATGAGTTATTTATCATCTGCATCACCACAGGTCCTTCGTGCAGACCAGGATCTGTTTCCACGAGTTATAATCGGCTCTTCATTCGGCTAGAATTTGTATAGTTTATTTATTATAAAGTCTCATAAAGAAAGGCATAAATTAATATTACCGAACAAGTTCAACTAAGTAAATCAGGCGCCTTCTATATATTTCTTATTAACACTACCTTTTGAACCGCAGCATATTTTCATACGAGCTTCATATCGCAGAAAAAAAACCGGGACAACTTCGAGCGTTCTGTTATCTCCCGCTTTATATTTTCATCCCGTTGTAACGGGCAAAGCAGCAGCGCGGATTAGCCTTTCCAGCCACTTTACACATGCCGTACGCTGAATTCATCGAATGCATCCACCCTTTCGATAACAACGAAACCAAAATGGCGCAGTGTAATGTGCTCTAACAAAACTTTCGAAAGCTATCATCGGCATCCCGTTCCCCACTTGTCCGGTCTCGTATTCTACATCATTTCTTATTTCGCGACGGTTCAGTGGCGCGCCCGCGAATTTGTGCTTTTAGAGATTTTGTTAGCCTGTTGGTATCTGTCTCTAAGTGGTAATGAATCAAACGACTTTTGTAGAAAAGAAGGCAGATAGGAAAAAAATAATTAGCAAAATTCAACCCTCTTTGTAACGTTTTAAATAGACATTAGGTTTCGAATGAAACGTAGTAAGACAGATAAACAACAAATAAACAAAAAAAAAACGAAAATAGAAGATTTTTTCTTCAACATTAATTTATACCGCGTTCTCTACATAATGCCGTTTTCCTCGTTTAAATCCGACCAATAATAGTCGAGATATACGCTTAGGTCCTTTTGACATTGCTACTGCGCAGCATTTTCTCCTCAACGTTCACATAAACGACTGATGCCATCTTGGATCAATTAGCCGAGTCGCAAACCACTTAGCTGAGTTCCAATTGTCCACCACTGATAAGTGGCGCCATCTAGCGGCGACTTTTGGAACTGTGGGCTCATAGTCGAAGAAGAGATGATAAAAAATAGAAAAAATGAATGATATAAAGGTAGAAATAATTGAAAGTTCAAAAAAATTTGCGAGATAACATATTTAAAATTTTAGAAGGAGAAGAACTTTTGAAAGAAGAAATAAAGAAATAGAAGAACAAAAAATATAAGAGATAGAAATAGAAGAAATATGTATAAGTAAGCAAAATAAAAGAAAAACAAAAGTTGAATGTAAAAAATAAAGTTAGTGCCAAACAAAATAGTAAAAATATAAGATAGATGAAAACAAACATAAAACAGGCAGAAATTGGGAAAGAATAAAAAATAGGACATTATCGGAAAAAGAAAAAATACGAACTAAAATCAAGGAGATATAAATTTGTACATATATATCATTTGTTTATTTTACGACTTCTTGAAATATTATTAAACTATAATTTCACTTTTAAGAATTTTAAAATTTTCGAAATTTGGCCCCACGTTGAACGCCAAAAATAAACGTTTTCTTCCATTTTACTTTTTTTCTAGTGAATTTATTTTGTAATTGTGTAGGATTATTTCACTATATTCTTGAGACTCAGCTAAATCTACCATTTGTATCTACCCAGTCCCGTTTCCACAAGAATGTACTGGAGCCACACGGTTGAGATCTCATGTGTGGTTTTTAGGTTTAAGTAGTAGCATAAGTATCTAAAAGTTTATCGAGTTAGGGTTTATGGTTAATTGTGTATATTAAGAAGCCCTGAAATGATCTAAAGCACCAGTATATTTACAGATATTTGTTTAATAAACATAAACAGCATTGAAGGTATATTTATTGTTTTGAAAACCCAACTTTAGTTTCACAGCAACCGTACTTTATATATTAAAAGTACAGGCAACTACAAGCAAATACAAGCAACCTAAAGTTTATTTTGTATTTCTGTCACTGCCCTAATCTAGAAATCAGCCAATTTTAGTGAATTAGTGGATGATTTTCACAATTAGAAGGTGTTAGCCGTTCAAAATGGCTTTCTATATCTTCTTTTATCGTTCCACTCCTTCATCCGACTTGAAATAACCGCGATAAATGTCACTAGGACAATTTTCAAATGAAACAAATTAAATTTCTAATAAGAGTTTGTTTAAGTTTGATTTGTTATAGTTAGACGGTGTAGGATCAGGCTACCGATAAGTATTTTAACGTTTCAAGGTGAATACATTTTTTCATGCGAAATAAATTTGTAATAAAAAGCTAGTAGGTTTTT